GTAAAAAAAAGTCTGCATGATTTCAATAGGAAATGCAGGAAATGCACATTTTGCAGAAATGCACATAGTTTGTTGAAAGGTTTTCACATACATTATTTTTTTTTGTTTTTGATTTTTTAAGTCAAAATTATAAGTATAAGACCACACAATGAGATTTATTTTTAAATTATGAGAAAACAGTCAGAATATTATGATTTTTTTAATAATGTTATCAGAAAAAAGTCAGAATCTTACATGACATGTCCATTTTCTGTTCCTGGGTCACGTTGCACCTGTAGACAGTCTCTATGCATGTCACTGTGTTTACGAAATAGTCTGCGATTATTGGGTCACTGTTGGTGTAATATGCTTCCATCTACATTATGTCATGAGTAAATCCATCAATGCAGCCATTAACTGCAATGCCATACAACTTGAGTTTATCATACGAATCCAAAGAGTTGAAAAAAGACAGTATAACTTCACAAGATGCTCAACGTTCTTTGCTTTAATGCAGTGGTAAGACCACTTTTTTGTGGTGTTCTTGTAATATTACAACTTTTTTCTCATAATATATTTACTTTATTCTTGTTTTATTTTAACTTTATTCTTGTAGTGTCATAACTTTATTCTTGTTTTATTTTAACTTTATTCTTGTGATGTTATGACTTTATTCTTTTATTATTTCAACTTTATTCTTGTCATATTATGACTTTATTCTTGTAATTAAAAATAGTAGTGTAGTGTGGCCCGTCATAAAAAAAATGAGTTTCATAAATAGTTCAGAATTGGATAGTYCAGAAGTTTTATTTTAAATTACTTAGTTACAATATTATAAAATATTATCTTGCATTAACTCTCCAAATAAGTTTAATATTAATTGCTGGCTATTTCCATCTTTGAAGACTTTCAATTTTACAGTACGTGTTATTGTTGTTTTTCTTTTCTTTTGAAAACAACCACCACTTTAAGATCATTTACTTTAAATAAATGTAACTTTTATAAAACCTCACAAAGCACTAGGATCAAGAAAAAAAAGACTAAGCTTCCAATAAACAAAGAGATGTGTGGATATTAGTATTATAGTCACTTGAAGTGACCTGGATAACACCAACAACTTGTGAGTGTGATTAAGTGGAACCTAAAGCACCTTTATATRAAGTGTTGTTACGTAATGTATTTAGCTTTTTTAAATGGTGGATACAAGCAAAAAAAGGGCATGAGATTAAATAATTTCCCCAGTTCCTAATAAAAGGCTAAACTTATTTGTCATCGCAGAAATTACCCCCTGCTGGTCAGTGAATGAACTGCAGGTTACTGCAACTTCCACAGTGGCCTCATTTTTCAGATTTGGATGCTTCAGATAATCATTTTTTTTAACTTACCTGATCATATTTTTTCATAATTTGGTTTATTTTGGTAATAACTGTCAATGCAAAACAAATTTGCTTAAAATGCCAAAACTAATAACTTGTTTATGCTATCATGGCGTGGTTGTAATTAGTCTGAGTGAGAATATGGTGTGAAAATCCCAGCTGAAACCATYACAAACCATGCAGGACACATTTTGAAACAAATGGGTGCTAAACCCCCAGCAACAGGGACACATTACAGTTACTATCAGCAGTAATGATGACAATGAAGGTATCTGTCACACCAAACAGATGGAAGATGCTGAAAAAAAAGAGAAACATGAAAAGAGGGATGTGAGGGGCTGTGTGCTAAAAAAACACTTTAGATTCTACATATATCCCTAGAGAAGTGGCTTTTCTGCTCTCCTCCACGAGGCTTAACAGTGAAGGAAAGCATGGAGCCCATCCCTCCCCCCCACACTGGATTATTCCTCCGACGCTGTTAAGCCCCCCCCATATACTCCCACGTTCAGGCAGCCCTGAAACACATGTATTCATTATGAGAGACACTTAATGTACTGAACACGCACATCTTTCCTCCAACCCTCATCTGCTTCATCTTTCCGTCTCTCTACCCTTATTTGTTTCCTCTTTAAATACCATCACACACTCAAAAACTGCAAAACACTTACACATTAAGCAGGTGCACGTGTGTTTATGTCATTTTCAGGTGCTCAGAAAGTCAATGGGAAAAAAATGATCCGTGGTGCCACCTCTGTTGGATGCGAGTAGCTTATCCAGTTACATAAGACAGGTTGATGTGCCCTCCTGGAGGAAAAGCGGGGCCGTTGTGTTTGTGTAGTGTGTTCCTCGGCCTTGTTTTGTGGCATATTGTGTCTCTGCATGAGAGCATGTGACAGAGATTAGCTGCTCRCATTCATTTTCTCCAGCCGCCTGCGCTTTACTGTAAATGACTGCTTCACGGAGGATGGAAATGTCTATGATTTTATTTTTTGCGACTGTGGTTTTCATGGTTGATGAAGTGCACGAGGGCTGTACATGCATGGATGTAATTATTCAYGTGCATAACTTGAAATTTTGTTTCGTGAATAAAGTTATACTGGAAAAGCACACACACATAAATCATTTTACTGAATGTTTCTCACATTTAAAATGTGTATAAAACAGCCATAAGAAAGCCAGAATTCTGAGAAATGGCGCAATGAGGGAAAAGCTTGAAATCTTACACCATCATCTATTGGCTCCAATTTCCTTATCACACACTGGAGGGGCCCGGATGATTGAAAATGACATCAAAATGCTACTTAGTTTGAATGACATCAATGTTTTGGTTACTTGCTTGCAGTCCAAATGTCTGCCAATGTAATGAAAACATGTTTACTAGAGTCGACGGTGCCCTTTTTGAGTGTTGTGTTTTATCACTATAGAAATGAGAAGGGAAATATGAGTAAAACTGGTGCTACTCTCAGAGATAGACCCAGATTGCAAGACTGTCTTTTGCTTAATTACGAAGTTAAAATAAACAGCACACAAAACTGTATAGAAAAATTCGAAATATGTCATCATCCCTATGACCAAACCCAGTCTTAGCACAACAATAAACTGAAGGAACCATTTTAAAATAGACACTCCTYAGGATGGACATATACAAAGTCTTGTGCAGTATAGCACGATCGAAAGAGGAACTAGCTTCTCATTTAGCGGCTTAGCTGTTTTGCTAACCTTGAGAACCGTTACCAGATAAATGATCTTCTGCTAAATTGAGTTCTGCCAATTTTAAGTCCACTAAAAACTCACAAGTGTAAAACTTCTATTTTGATGAAATTTATTCTGTATTAAATAAAAACGATCCCCTTTTACAAGCCAGGCTGGATGTGTCAGGCACAGTGTGTGTAGCGCGTAGCAYCTTTAGCAGCTAAACTTATGTGTGCCAAAAGAAATAAAATAACATTTAATGTTTAAATAATGAATACGAAAATCGACTTCGTATAAAACGTTAGAGAAAGCATTTGCTGTTGTTGTTTTTTTTACTAACCAAATGATATAACAATATAAACTCAATCTAGAAATGTTTTTATTCTGAAAGGGGTGACAGATGTTTCACAAGTTAGACAGAGCAATAACTTTGGATTGGACAATTTGCCACAGAGGATCCCACCTACCTTCAAATTAAACCAATAGAAAACTAACAACAAGTTTGCATCAGTTAGGRGTGGGCGATATGGAGTAGTRCAAACAAAGTGTAAACAAAATAATCAATCTCATCACGCTAGTAGGTTATCATTCCAATATCCATACTCATCTTGGTTTTTTGATAGTATGGTTACTTGGCTTGATACGCCTAGCATCAGTTCCAGTCTTTAACTGGAAGGAGATGAAGACGTGTGACATGGACTGACAGTATCCATTAGCTTCCATAAATTATTTATCTAYAACGGTTTAGTGTTAGTAGAGCTAAGGTTCTTGTTTGGCGGATTACTGGTTAGTAAACTTAACAATTCGGTAAGCTGTGCCCACTGAATACAGTTAATGTGAAAATTAAGAGAGAAAAAAAGAGGCTGATTTCTGGCTCATTAGTCTCTAAAAATAAATGGCTGAATATATTTTTGTTTTTAAATATCGAGAGACGCAGGACGTACMCGAGCCACTCGTCTGAGAAGCTGCACAAAGGCAGCTTTTATTTTCACACTGGGATGAGATGAAAAGGCAACTTACCCTGAAAAATGGTTTGACACGCTTCAGTTAGGACGTTTTATGCCATTCGTACATCCATTCTGACATAAAACACATGCAAGCTAGCTTGAGCTGGGGTTGGAAAATTAAACTAAACTGTATTTTTTTTTCAATTCGTACATTTTTCTGTCTTGCTGAGCTGCTTTCTTTGGTAATTTCCACTTCTAATGTGCTCCTATGCTTTTGTCCCAGCATGCGTTTACGTCTGTACGTTCAGACGAGCTGTGGAGCTGAAGGCTCAGGTGCTTGTTTTCTCTGCCAGCTGACACACTCTGATAAGGCAAACAAAAACAGTGGAAAGTGATCCAATTTCTGTGCCAATCTCTCACAGTTTATTCAAACAGACCAGACACAACAACAAAGATGCTTTACAATGTCCTTCTTCTATGTAGTTTCTTCATTTTTTTATTAGATATGTTTGTCATTTTTTTCATGACACTAACGTCTGTCTGTATGTTGCTGGAACTAGAAGGTGTTCAACAACATYCAACTGAGCTGTAGCATGGAAACTAGCTGGCCTTTAAATGCACCCTTAGCCAAAAGGTCTAGTAACCCAGTAAAGGTCCAAATCCAGTCCTGGAGAAGATGATTCAGACTGATTGCCTAGAATCAACCCATGCACACTAATGTGGTAGCTGGAGCCTAAATACATCTCACAGAGTCCAGTGTCAGTCCAAATGTGGCTATATGTGCTAATTCACATTTGAAAGTTGATRCTTACACCACAGATACACCACAGACAGCAGTGATAAGTAGATTTTGAAAAGCCACTAAGCTTTTATACTTGGACTTTTTATCTGAAAGGAAAACAAGGTTTRCAGTTTCACCCTTGCTGCTGATTTTGTGCTACGCTAAGCTAAGCTAACTGGCTACTTTCTCAGTTTTACGGTGCAGCTATGATTACTTCATCAAACTCTTAGAAAGAGAGTTAGCAGTTCTACTTGTAATGAGTTGACTCATGCATAAATTTCGATTGTTTTCCTGCAGGTAGGGCTTCAGCAATCCCCGAGGCTGCCACCTCCGACCCCACAGCTCCGGGGGAAGTGGTACCGTCAGGACCTGCCGCCGCCGCTCCTCCTCATTTTGAACCAGCCCCCGTGGAGCTCTGCAGCACGGGCCGAACTCAAAGCCTCCCGGAAACCGTTTGCAGCGGTGCAACGCCGGACCCCCAAAACCTCCTCCCACCCCCTATGACACCCCCTCCGCCTCCTCTGACTGCCGCCGACATGGATGACCTCCCKCTTCCCTCCCCGCCGATCCTACCTCCTCCTCCTCTATCAGTCAAATCTGCTTCTACCTCCAGTCCCCCTCTCTCCTGCCTTTCGCCGTCCCCGCCTCTGGTCGAGAGCCCTCAGCGTCCCACCACCCTCAACCTGAGGACTCTTCCGCGGCCCACCGTCAGGGAGAACGGCGGCCCCCTTCATCAAATGGCYGAGGAAGAAGAGGAAAGAAAAATGCTGGAAGAGGATCTGAAAAAATGCATCGACGACTTCAAAAAGATCCGCTTGCCCAACGCGTTCCCAGACCGTAAGAGGCACTGGCAGAGTGACTTACTGAAGAAGTACAACGCTTAGAGAACTTCCTGTGGTACCGTAGTGAGCAAACTTGACAAGGACTTTCAGAGAACAGTGGACTGAAGCTCATATTGTTCTGATTTGAAGTGTCATTAAGATTACTTACAGTAGACCGGTAATAGCTTTTGAACCTAATTGTTTGATGAAGTTAAGTGCTCAGGCTGAGCTTGTCAGGTAATCAAATAAAGACAAGAAAAGAGCATCCCCGTAGAGACTGATAGTTCCATCTAGTTTTAATCATAGACTAATTATATATGGTAGAAATAATTCTCCGTACACTCAATCAAAGTGAACCACGTGCGGTGTCATTTATTCAAGGTTTCTGCTCCTCTCTCTGTACCACGTCTCTGATCAAACAGCCGGAAAATGTCGGCAAATTGTGAAGCTTAAAAGCGTTTGACCACAATGATGCAAAATAAAAGAAAGAAGTGAAATTTCTGGTGCTAATCTCGACTCGCTCACCTCATCAATATTACATGCATGACTTCAAAGCCTTTCAATACACAAGCCCCACAGTTTTGCTTCGTTTCGTSTTTATCTCCCAGCCAGCAAAGGGGAAGAATTCGGAGAAAGAATGGAGCGTATCAGGAAGCGGAGCGTGGGTAATTACGGGGCCAGCCAGAACGTGGAATAAGAATGACAGTAATGGCTACATGAACCAGTGCACAGCACCATTTGTTCCTCTATCTGCTCCGAGTTAAAAAGCTCATCCAGCCACACTAATGAATTACCAGGTGTCTTTGTGTCGCCGTCATTGTGGGAAAAATCACAAGTGACTCAGAATAAAATTGCACAATACTTGGTTATTTGTCTTTTCTGGTACCCTGAACTGCCTCAGAACATCACTGAGAAACATGCTAAAAATGCACCGTATTCTCATGTCTGTGCATTGTGTGGAAACATGTCAACAATGCAGAACAAGCAGAGGCAGATATCGTCTTGGGGCCCACGGTGAAGCCCTTCACTTCCTGTTTTTAAAACCATCTTTGTTGAGGACCTACTTGTAACTAACTGTTGTTTATTGCTAAACAAAAGTTTTGCTGTCAAGTTTTAAGAAATCTTCATTTATTTGATCTAAGAGAATCGATCTGGGTTCACTTGATCTGTAGCTGTAAATGTTTGCAGCTTCCAGATGCCTGAGCAAGACAGAACAAGAAAGTGTTTATTGAACTTGTTGTGCTGTCTAAACATATCCTAAAGATATTTATCACTATTTAACCCATTGTCTCTTCAATGAGTATCGTTTTTCTAATTTCTTAGAAGGTACCGTTAAAAGTATCTAACAACCCTTTTTAATTTTTTTTTTTTTACTGTAGATAAATCAGGATAAATGCAGGCACAGGCAGTGTTGTATAAAGTACCTCAAAGTGATACTTGAGTAAAAGTACAAGTATCTTATCATAAAAATACTTTGGTAAAAGTTAAAGTCTTCTCTAAAAATATTACTGGAGTAAAAGTCTTAAATTATCTGATATTTTTTATACTAAAGTATCAAAAGTAAATTTCCGACACAAAACAAGTATTAAAAGTAAATGTACTGAGTAAAAGTGAGCAGTTAGATTTTCCAAAATGACATTTATTAGAAGGTGACTTCTCCAAAAAATATTTTTTCTAACGGCGTGTAGCTGTGATGGGTTGTGTATAAGCTAATAAGGTGTCAGAATGGTATATATTTATACTTCTCATCCAACCACAATTAAATTCACTCTATCCAGAAGACACAATTTATGGAATAGTATTTTTAAAGTAATAACAACTCGGAATAAAATATGAGTAACAACTTTCTGCTTCTTACCTTTTAAAAAAATGTAGTGAGTAGAAAGTACAGATAATTCTGTAAAAATGTAATGAGTAAAAGTAAAAAGTACGCTGAAAAGTAATTACTCAAGTAAAGTACAGATAAGCAAAATTTCTACTTCAGGACAGTAACAAAGTATTTGTACTTACTTACTTTACAACTCTGGGCACAACGTTGAAAATTTGGCCCACCACCATGAACTGTAGGTGTCTGTTAGCACAATGTCCCATGAACCAGCATTCATATTTTAATGAAACCTCCATAACTTATTTATTACACAGTAAATCTACAACTAATCAACTTTTAATAGTGATCACTGGATGGACAACTACAATAGATTAACTCTGGGAGTTAACCCAATTCAACATGGCTGCAAACATGGCTAATCATTCTTAAACACAAAAGCAACTCTACAGCTTAGTCGGTTTTACAGATATTGAACATAAAATGTTTATTTTAAAGGCTGCATGTCCTCACCTTGTCGTGTTGAAAATTGAAGCTGCCATTTTGTATTTTTGGAAGATAAGTCTGGTGATGAAGGGCTTTAAGTGCTTCCTCCTCCACACAATCATGACGCATGACCTTTCTTTTTAAACACGAAACAACTAATTACAGCTAAAAGTAACGAAGACACCTGAAGTGTCGACACCTGACAAAATGTTGTCTGCGCAGCACCATTTGTTTCTCCATCTGCTCTGAGGAAAAACAGATCTTCTAATGACTTACCAGGTGACTTTGTGTTGCTATTTCTCGCTGTCATTATTATTTTACATGAAGATTCTTCCTTGTCCAGCTTTACATTTCAGGTTCTTGTTGGAGGTCTAGATTTACATAATGTATGACCTTGACTTAAAATGAATGTGTTAATAGCTGAGACTGATCCTAACAGATGGCACAACATTTTTGTTTAAAACTCTGACATGTAAGGAAGTGGGCAACTTTCATTCAAGAAATACTATATTATTGAAGTGTTTTTAATTTCCTTTTAGCATTTTCACAATACTTTGGGCAAAACATTTTCACACAACAAATTTATCACATTTATCAACTATTTACCGAAACAAATGAAAAAGTAAAGATGTGCTGTGAGTTTATTGGGTATTTCAAGAACCTCTTAGTTTAATRGCATCTAAAAGGTATGAGCTGCCTRAAGCTAAATCCAGTCCTGAAAACAAGTTAATCATTCTGTCTCGTTTTTCAAATCAAGCTAAAGTTCTGCAGAACAGAAATAAACTACTTTATTCTTTGAACATAAGCTGTTGAAATGTTTTCAGAGTGAAAATAATAAAAACTGGAGTCAACTAGTTGTTTTACCGGAGCAAACGCACAAATTCTCAAGTCAGAAAAAGTCACAGAGCTCCTCACAGAGCTGAGTGAGGGAAATAGACCTGACGGTGGGTGAGAGGCATGATTACAAGGCTGACTCTTGTTTCTCTCACTCCCCTTACCTTTCAGCCTCATTCCTTACATGTTTAATCCAGAGGAAAGCCTGTTGGTTTTTCAACATAAAGACTTAAAAGATCCAATGATTTGGGGGACATAATTTTAAGCAAAGTCCCCCCACGTCTCATTAAAATAAAACTATAAAAAACACTATATTATCAATTTTGATGTATTATGTTTGATATTACTTTTTGGTTATTCTTAATATGCATAAAAAAGGAAAAAAACATGCAAGTTTGGAGTTAAAAATATTTTATCATCCCAACAAACATGGGAATAGTGTATTCTGGTTAACTACATTTGGAATTATTTTTGTTCTTCTCTAACAAACACAAAAAATAACATGCAAAGTCTGCTGCAGGCCTGGTAATTATTTTTACTCGCTATAGGAAAACACTGGTACAACTTTTGTTTCCCTAAAGATTTCATCAACATCTGATGATGTAACATCTTAAAGGAGCGTCCAACTTGTACTCTGCACAACTACACATTAAGAGCCAGGGGGGAGACGTAGGGGAATGCTCATGCGGGGGTCATGGTAGGAAAGGGGATTTGCCCTAAATCTCTTCACACTGGGCTTACAAAGCCTGATTGATGCACCTTTGTTGAGMTTTACCATCCTGTTTGAAGGGTAAGAATGCAGATTGTACTCCAGCCACACAGCAGAATCCACAAAGGAATCTCATGACAATATTACCAAATGCAACACATCAAAAMACACTAAAACAAAACTTTTAATGGAGAAATGTAGTTATTTTCTGCTAATTTCTAYGTTTGTTAAACAAAATGCATCAGTATCCCTTAAATGAGAGGTGTCAAACACATTTTCACTGAGTCCCACATGAGCATTACGGATGCCCTCTGAGGTCCAGTTCTAATAAATTAGCCATCTAAAAAAAGTAAAAAAAAAAACAAGATTATAGTCTAAATCTTCTAAAATATTGGAATAATCTGGCCAACTGTCCATCCATTTTCTACCAAACTAACTAGATTAATAAAATAACACATTCTGCTCATGCTTATTATAAGTTTCACAACAACAAATAGTTTTAGGCTGAAAATAAGACAGTAAGACTTTGTTAGGTGGACAATTTTTGCAGTGTAATTTCAATGTTTCATGTTTATGACTAAACAAGAAACATTATGTTCCTTGGCATTTTGTTACAGCTGAGCTGAGCACTAACAGACAATAACAGAACTCTGCCTTTTCTGCACAGAAACAGCTCTTTAACATGTCYTCATATAAACACTGAGCCGACTGACAGTCTAAATATGAAATAAATAATACAAAAATAATATCAAGTGAGTTTTACTCACCGTTCAATTGTGGTGAGTAGCTGCCATCTTGAAATCTGCAACTGTCCCACTTTCTGACAAGGAATTCCCACTGGAGGGACATTCCAGTTTAAATTCACAACTTGTAAGTGGGRAATTCCCTCTTTCCAGTACATCTGGRCTGCGGCAGCAAAAATGCRATGAAATGAAGATTTTATACAATGGATTTCTCCGGCTGCCAACTATTTTTGAACCCTGCGCACCTCCACCTAGTTGTTGTATGCCGTCATTTCACAGGTAAAATAATCAACGTGCATTATGGGAAATGTAGTTCATGGTCAATGTTGGCTTTGAAGCAGCATACACTTATTTTAAGACATTAATACATTTTTAAAGCTCTTGTGGGCCACATAAAATGCTGTGGCAGGCCACATTTGGCCCGCAGGCTTTGAGTTGGACACATAACTTAAACATGTTTATTTTAATGCAGAAAAAACCATTTTAATTGAAGAAAATAACTACAATTATGAGTGCATTTACAACTATTGATTATTATTTATTTATTCAATGGAGTCAGAAAAAATTAGGTATAAAATCCAGATAGACTTCTTTACTCACCTTACGTATATCCCTGTACAAAAAGTTGCTGAATCTATTAATTTGTTGGCTTAAATTGAAAATGTTTTTTAAGTTTGTGACATTTTACTGTTGGTTTTCATTTGTGAAGTTTTAAGTATTAAACAGCCTCAGCTAGGTGGAAGTACAAACGTTTGCTGAACCTTGTTTCTGTTCTCTCATCGATGGAATAATCTCCAGTCTTTTCACAGAACTGAGTGTTGTGAGTTAAAAAAGGGCAGAAGAAGGTTGTTGCTTTTCATCATTCTTGATTGAAAGGTAAGTGTTTCTTCTGAACATTGTCTTCCTCTGAGAAGTGACATCATCACAGCAAAGCATTTCTCTGTGATTTATGAGTGTGTACCCACAGTACTTRTAAATGTAAAAACCCTTTTTTGATGTCTCCACCAGCCTTTTTTTTCCTCTCGAGGACATTAAATTGGTATTTTGTTGACATTTCATTAAAAAAAAAACATCCGTGTACGATTTAGGCCTTATATAAGAAAACCCTCCCATAGAACAACAAATTATGGCTCTCCATGACTGTGTACAGCTTTGAATATGCTTTTATTATATATTACTATTTCTATTTTGATTCATTTCTTTTGCCTGTCTGACTCATTTGACCTGTTTGAAGTCAACCTGTAGCTTTTCTCTCTCATAATGAGCC